AAAAAAAACTGAAAAAGGAAAAAAAAAAGTTCCTTTTTGTTTCTACCAAAAATGTGTTGTCTGACCCAGAAAAGAAACAAACAAAAAACAACACATTGCAAAAAAAGAAGAAAAAAAAAAGAAAAAAAACATTCTCCCAACCGACTTTTGCAACTCCAGAGTTTGATAATCGTTCGAGACGCTCCTCCCGCGCACCTGTGTCCGGAGTCTCCGTGTGCCAAGGGGACCTTGCCGAGGGGCCCCTCCGTGTCCCCGCGGGCCGCCGGGGACACGGGCTGCTCCACTCCATGTTTACTGGCTGTAAATACCATTTTTTATACTCCACGTCGAGGACTTGTGATTTGTACGATGTAGTTTATTTCTGCTACGAGTAACTTACAAACTGACTTTTGGAGACCAAGCCCCCCCCAAACACACACAGGCGAGAAAGAAAGGAAAAGAAAGGGCGGAGAGGGAATTTTGGGTTGACTTGGTTTGAATTTTGTGTCAAAGCAGATTTCCCCGCCGAGTTCATTGTTCAGGTCACAAACGGCAAGCGTCGTCTTAATGTCCCAAATGCCTCTCTTTGGTCTGAAAAAAAAAACCTAAAAATTTATTTAATAAAAGTTTTACTTGCTAAAGGGCTGGCTTTTGCCTTATTTTCCTGCTCTCATAGCTAAAGGCCAAGTTATTCTACTCCCTCTGGCGTCCAAGCTAGAAAGAACTCTAGGTTTAGGGTTAGCCAGACGTGGCAGGAGATACTCCAAAGCAGGAAGTTTAGAATTCCTGTATTTGGGATTTTGTCTGATTAGCCTGGAAGTTGGAGAAATGTTGTGGGCTTTTTTTTTTTTTTCCCCCAAAAAACAGGTGCACACATTTATTTATTCATTCAACAAACAATTATTGGACACAGTGCTGGTCATAGGGGCACATCAGGTAGTGACAAGACAGCTGGTCTCTGTCCACATGGGGAGAGGCACTACACAAAGAATCATATACCATTTTAAAAGACAGGGCCGGGGATATAGGTCAGTGGCACAAGCGCCTGCCTGGCAAGCGCAAGGTCCTGAGTTCAATTCCTGGTACCCACCCCCCACAAAAAAAAAGGCCAGGCGTGGTGGCACTCAGGAGGCTGAGGCAGGAGGATCACTGCGAGTTCAAGACCAGCCTGGGCTACTAAGTGAGCTCAAGGCCAGCCTGAACTGCATAGCGAGACCCTGTCTCAAAAAGACAAAAAAAAAAAAAAAAGAAAAAAGAAAAATAGACATAAAGTTCACATAACATTGGATTTACCATCATAGCCATTTTTTGGTTTAATTTTTTTGAGACAGGGTCTCATTATGTAAACCAAGCTGGCCTTAACCTCAGAAGGACCCTCCTGCGTCAGCCTCCAGGGTGCTAGGATGACAGGTGTGTGCCATGCCTGGCTGCCTTAGGAAGTTTGACAGGTGGGCGGGGGACAGGGAAGATGGACACAGTGTGCTGAAGCAAAGAATGTCCCACGGCAGTGAGGCCCAGGGTGGGGGGCACTGGGCAGCAGGATGGGAGGCAGAACTTTTTTTTCTTTCCCCTTGGATTTTTGGAGACAAGCTTTCACTGTGTAGTCCAGGCTGGCCTTGAACTCACTGAGTAGCCCAGGCTGGCCTCAGATTTGCAGTGATCCCCTGCCTCTGCCTCCCTCTCTAGTGCTGGGATCACAGGCATGCGCCTTCGTGCCTGACAAAAGTCTCTTGACTTCCTGAGCTACTACCTGCTCTGCCAGCAGTGTTGCCAAAATGCCACATTCTCATCTGGAAAACGCAGCCTCTCTTACAGTTGGGGAAACCAAGGCTCACAGATGTCACGCAGGGCGGAGCTGGGAAGAGGCCTAGGAAGATTAATTGCTGCTGCCTGGAAGGGTTTTCTGGGTGGAAGGGTCCACTGTGGGTAAAGGCTCCACGGTCCTTGCTGTCTGGGAGCTGACAGCGTTGGGCTGGGAAGGCTGGGTGGAGAGGGTGCTGAGGTCCGCAAGGGCTCAGATGGAGGGTTTTTTGTTACTAAGCACCTACTGTGTGCCACATCCTGTCCCCGCCCTCCTGAGGCCAAAGTCTAGGAGGAAAGTGAACAGAAAACAAAAAGAACCCCACCTCCTCAATTAGAATTCATGAGGCTTGGGCTGGGGATATAGCTCAGTGGCATAAGTGCCTGCCTGGCAAGCTCAAGGTCCTGAGTTCGATTCCCAGTACCAAAAAAAAAAAAGATTTCATGAGGCTTGTAATCTAAGTGGGACTGGCCAAATATGGACACTATCTTGAGGGCAATAGGGAGCCATATAAGGGTTTAGAGTGAGAGAAGCCTGCTCAGATTATGTTAAGAGGATACCTGGGGTGAGCTCCACAATGTTGGGGGGCCATAAGTTAGCCTGCTGGGAGGATAGCATGCTGAGCCTACCAAGTATTGACTAAGCACTCTACATTTACCAAGCATTGCTTTACCAACCTGTGTTGTACAATAGTCAGTAAAACGATGGATTTCACTCCTTGGCCATACTAAGCTACCTGCCGAGGTCTCATCACAGCAGAGTTTGGTCAGACAGCACCAGCCTGTGTGTGTGTGTTTTCCACAGGGACTCACTTCTCCTGGCACAGCTCCTGAGAAGCAGATATTAGCAGTGTTCATCGGGGCTGGGGCAGGGCTCAGAGGCGAGTGCGCTCTCAAGCACTTGTGTTCCATCCCTAGCACTGCAGAATATAAGGATAAGAGTAGTAGGGG